GCAAGAAACCTAAGCATAAAACTTACCTATGGTCAAAATGGTGGTTGCTTCTCCAGGGGTGAGGGAGGTATGGATTGGAAAGAGCATGGGAGAGCCGACTGGGTGCCAGAAATACTCTCTATCCTGATTTAGGTTATATAGGGGTATATTTATGTAAGATTAATTAACATCTAAGAACTGTGCGCTTTACTGTAGGCCTATCATAACTTAATATGAAAAAAGAATGTGAAAGGAAGGAGGGAGGGAGATAAGACAGGAGGGAGGGAGGAGTGAAGGAAGAAAAACAAAAGGGAAAAAAAGGCAGGGGTGAGCCTAAATGAGTTTTCTCTTGGCCTGATTTGCTCCTTTGAAGTTCCCCGCAAACCTAATTCAGGAGAGGCCCTCTCAATATGTGAGCTGAATGGCAAGAGAGAACATTGGTATCTTTATTCCACAATCAGATCCTAAATTCCTGTCCAGAGGCATTCATGAGCATCACTTTGATACACATGTAGGTGCATGAAGCCCTGGGGGTATGGATTCAGAGATGGCATGCCAGTCTGTTTTCAATCCAAATGTGCTCAGTGACATGTGCTGAATGCCCAGTGCTATTTGATTCTTGCACTGCAATTGTTGAGCCTAACCATGAACCATGAACTCCTGTTAACCAACTGGCCAACATTTGTTAGCCATCCCCTACAAGCCCGGCACCATGCCAGGTCTGGTACATTCATTATGGGCATCTGTAACATCTCACAGTGCACTATGTGCTTCTCCACAGACTGGGCAGGGAGCTGTAGGTACCTGCATGTCAAAGACAGGAATGACTTCACTGGGTACCCCAGGGTCAGAGAGAATAGAACCAGGAGACTTCTCTGGGTGTGCAGGCCTATCTCAGATCATGGGGATAGTTCTTGCTTAGACCCATCTCATGCCATCAAACTTTCAGGGCAGTCTGGCCCCAAGAGGCCATAAACAATACAATGTCTACTTTACAATGGGTGCGGAAAGGTGGAAATGGAAACTTTCACCTGTGCATTCTTAATCGTTTTAACCCCAAGAACATCAAACTATTATTGGCATAAACCTCCTCACAAAAGATGCTAAAAGGGTAGGTGAAGATATTCTGGTTAGATCAAGCTGTGATGATTAAGTGCCTTTTAAAAAAATTGTTTTGTTTGAAACAAAATTTGTCTGAAGAGAAATGGTTTTGGTTTGGAAATGAATCCAATCAGTTCAAAAGGATACTATGCTTTCTTAGATAATAAATTTTACAGCTTTGACTAAGTTGGGCTGTTTAATCATCTTCCTGATCATGTAGGGCAAGAACTACATGTTCATGTTGAACACGCATGAGGGCCACAGTGGTGGGAAATTGATGGCAATGGTTTAGTAAGAACAGAGGATTATATTTAGACTATTCCAGTTTTTACAGTATGGAGAGATTAAACATCTTTAATTAATATTTACAGAAAAACAAAACCCCAACCCTCAGGTTTTTCAAACATGGGTAAAATCCTTTGAAAGAAAGTTCAATATAATCTGAGAGTTTAAGTTGTAAAACTTGTTGAGTAGAGAAAGGCAATGAAATCAGAAATGGAAGTCTCTGCCTTATGCCTTTCTCCTATCTTCAGAAGTATTCAAAAACATTTACCATCTCAATCTGATTTCTTCAGGGTCTAAAAACCTGTCAAATCTGACTGTATTCCACCTAAAGATCATGGCAAAATTTGCATAAGACTATGGCTGATGAGTGAACCTGAGTTCAGCCATTTTTTTTCCTCTTAAACAATGAATGCTGCCACTAAAGAACCAAATTCTATTTTTGACTTGAGCTCCTTACTGGGAAACTGAGTTTTCTAAGCCTATTGCCCAGAATAACAGCATCTCTTGGAGCCTTGTGAACAAAAGAGCCTTGGGGCTTAACAGAAAGAGCACGGGCATCTCCTAGAGGTGCCCAAGTAGTTTCCCAGCTGCGCATTCCCAGGGTCCTCACCAACTGAAAATCAGGAGAATCCCACAAGTTCCAAGGGAACATTTTAAAAGACACATGATAATTACTGACTGCAACAGTTCTATCTAAATTCCAGCTGCAGGAATTGAGAATCCTGAAGCCAAATTTAAGATGTGCTAAATGAACGGCACTCACAGACTGGGTGGGTGTTCCTTGCTCGGCTTTGATGAGAATCTAGCGTGCTCTCCCTGCTGCTGGAACAATGTGTGTTTCTCTGTCTATTCGCTGAGAGGGTCTCTTTGCAAGTGTTTCTTTACTCGATAAGCAGTGATGGGTTCTGAAAAAGAAATTGCTGGAAACAGTATTACCTCTCCTATCACTAATGCAAACCATACTATAAAATGAGGCACTATGCCAGAAACTAAATTCATCCTGTTCAGCCTAGAGAGATTAGAAATTGGAAGAATTAACACAAGTCCCCAGGGCCAATAAACCATACTTAGAACCATTTTGTGTTTTATACTCATAAGAATTTTATTTATGATAAGAATTTGAATGTCTTCCCCCTGCTTTATTTATAAAGATTAAGTGACATCATTTAGCTAAACAATGCCCTAAAAAGAACTAATAGCCCAAGTTGTTTCTATCGTTTAGGAAGGGGGGGGGAAATACCCTAACAAACACTGTTTTTTTTCTCTTTCACAAAAATAACAGAAGGAAAGCTGCTACTGTAATCAGCAGTGATTGCAGGCATTTCCTGTATTTTTATATCAAGCTGGTTGTTGTTTTTCCATTACATACCCAGTGAACTCCAGTTAGGTCAAGACTAAGGAAAAACAGGACCAATTATGCCTTCAACCCCACAAATCTGCCTACTTAGCTCTGCTAATTTTATCGTGTTGACTCCCCGATTCCAAGGGGCCAGAGACAGGAAGCCCCTGGAGGGCCAGTCGCTCTCTCCCTCCAGGAGGGGCACCCCTGCACGTCCCCTCTGCTGCCCCAGTTACTCTCCAGCGTCCCAAGACGAAACTTCTGCTCCACCTGTCACGGGCTGTGGTGCAGTCAGGTTGGTCAAACGAGAGGGACTTCGGTCAAGTCTCTGCTTTCTGAGAGGCTCCCAGGGTCAATGTTACTGCCGTCAGATAGGTCAATGCTAAAGCCTCCAGAGTCCATAGTTAACATACGTCCATCTCTAGGAATCTCATTCTTATGCTTTATCTGTAAGAAGGGCAAAAATCCTCTTCTTTATGCCTCACTTTCCATCTCTTTGGCATTAAGTCCCTTTCTCCTTGCTCTGTCTTCTGTGGTTACAAGAGGTTGCATTAGGAGCCTCTTCATTGGAGTCAATTATTATGCAGTAATAATGACATAATAGCCTCAGCTCCAGTTTTCTATTTTGTCACCTCAAGGCTTTCCATGAAAAGTGTACTCTGCTGTGTCTCTGCATCTTTTGATAATATTTAACACCTTGCTTGTAATACCAGATCGCACTGGCTCTTGCAGCCAACCCAGGGTTTTCACAGCTGCCAGTAGCTAGTCTCTCTTTTAAAGCTTCAGAAAAGCTGTGAAAACCTTCTTTATCAATTTGAGATTATAAAAAGATGACAAGCTCTTTGGCCTTTGTGCGGTTCCTTTCTCCACCCTGCCCCACGGCTACCCAAGTGCCCACTCTGCGCTGAGCGTGGGACCGCAGGTAGGTTTCCTCCTGGTGACACCGCTCATGCTCAAGTTAGACAATTAGCTCATTGTTTTAAAAGATGCCAGAGGAGTCTCTCCAGTTGACGACTGCACACAACTGTCTTCTAAGCTGTTCCTCTAGGGTTACTTGGCTCTGACAGTTTATTCTGCAATTATCCATGCTACTTATCAATCCACAGTTTTTATTTTTCACATTAATTCCATTGTTTTATGTAATTCAGCATTACAATTTCACAGACTATTAGAGCTGGGGTAGACCTCAGAGGTAAACAAATGCCATTTTGAAATAGTTTTACAGGATGGAGGATTAAAAATGTTTTTCTAGTCCTTCTTCAGTTACCTCAGATGACCCTACTCTTCAAATACAGGTGTACTTTCAAGTCAGAACCTGACACCCTTAGCAACAACCTTGCAGCCAACTGACAAATATTTAGTGATTACTGGCCATGTACCTGGCCCCATGTTATGGTATTATAAGGGAACAATAATAACAAACACTTACTAAACCCTTCCTATGTGTTTTCCCAAGCATTACCTCATTTAATATTCACGATAATCCCAAGAGGCAGGTATTATTACGATCCAAGTTTTAAAGTGAGAAAATTGAGGAAGGACAGAAGGTGAAAAGGATGGGCCGATGATCCACCTGTGGAGCCAGGGTCCCATCCCAGGTGTGTCTGGCTCATGGGTGTGTACCCCACCACCCAGGCTGCGTGTCGGCTTCCCCAGAGAGCACTGGACCTCCTTTACACTTTCTTTCAGAATCCATCATCTCAAAGCCACTCAGAAAAATCAGAGTTTTTTCTATATACGCACATATAATTTTTGATACAAAAATGATTATCAGAAATCAGATTTATCTCCAAAGCAAGACTGTTAGCCTCAAAAGAGACTACGTCTTCACATAAAAACCTAGAGAGGAATCTGAAAGTATTCAAAGTAAAAGCAGTATTTTTGCCCTGAGAACCAAGTCTCCCAAGAGGACACTTAAGGAAGAGGACAATGGTCATTTGGATGTGTAAACTCTGGTATGTTTGCTTAAAAAAAAAAAAAAAAAAAATCAGTCTATTTCCTTATGGCGAAATTGGGAAACTCCCAGCCCCCGATGCCCTCATGTACTTTCTGGAAGAGCTAATTTGGTATAATCTATAGTACTCTGATAGTCAATTGTTTCCTTATTTACGAAATATCGAATTGGGTTCCTAGCTGTTAATGATAAAATCTTTTATTTCATGTTCCTTTTTATATGAAATTTGACCGATAATTTTCTTTACTCCTGGCTTCCTTTTAAACAACAGCAAGAAAAGCCACCACAGAATTCTTCAGATTCTCCAAGTGAAATGTGTTTCTGCTATCCACAGTTTTGTTTTCCCCTCTCCAAACCTAACTACTGAAGTTCATTCTCAGTTACTACTCTTTCTCCTTCTCCTAATTCCAGTATAGGAGGTTCTCCCTCCTCCTATTTCCCTAGCCAGTTTTCAAGGAGTTTTTTTCTTTGTATAGGCAGTATTATTTGTGATTGTGGAGTTAGCATCTCTGCCACCCACAGTGGAGAGTAGGGACAAATGTATAGACCATGAGCTTGGCTAGCAGGCAAATGGAAGCTGTGGGGTTAGTCTGGTTGCTGGCACAGACCACATCCCATCAGTCGAATGTCCCACTTGACTTCAGTTGAGGGCAGATAGCAGGGGTGGAGTGGGAGGGGTGGGGAACACATTCTGAGGAGAACCCAGCCTTCTTATTTCATAATTGCTCCATGGTGTCAACAGTTCCAGGTTACCTCAGCAGTTCTCCAGTCTCCTTTCACATTGCTCTTAATCATCTTATTTTATTTGCAACTAGGATAAAAGTAACCAGGTCACAGTTACCAAATGCTTTTTACTCAGTCATAAGGATGTTTTAGATCAGAATCCTGTGGATTGTTGCAATGCCCACCTGTGGACACTGACTCCTTGAGCAGTTCTACAAAGCAACTCTCATTTGACATTCTGCATCATGGAGGAATGTGGCCGCCTCCCCAAGCAGGCTTGAGCTGCTACACAGCCCTGAGCTGGGTCCCTGGGAGGATCCGAGAGAAGGTGAGGCCACGGTCTCTGACCTCCAAGGACTAACAATTTAGTTGGGAAGATGAGACTAAAAAAATATTTTGAGACTGAGCAACTATTGTATCCCTACCCGCACTCCAAAATCCCATTAGCCACAGGGCAAATGATCATTCACCTTTTGGGGAAATCTCACCCCAATCCCCCTGCCCCTGTAACATTATAAACAAGCTCTTTCCCTCTGTAACTTTGGTTGACTAGGAACCACAGGTTTCTAATAGCAAGGAATTTTGTTTGTCTTACATTGAAAAAGACAAACAAAGATGAAGAGTCATACACAGAGATAAAAGCAAGCAAATGCTGGGAACACGATCTCTGAGCAGAGTTCCCCAGGGTACCCTCTGTGATGGGGCGCTAATTACAGAGGGGGAAGCAGCCTGTGTCTGTTCCAAGCAGGTTCTAATTATAGTTGTGTATCTTGCTTCTACCTAAAACACTGACTTATAATTCAGACAAACACACTAAAAGAACATGGTAGCTTTGAAGCAAGCACTGATGCACACAGATTATTTCCAAAATCTGGTCTCATGCATGCAAGGATGTGTCTCTCACGGCCAGACACTGTGTCATAGACACATAAGCGTTCCTTGAGATAGTTATGGGGTCCCCACTGGAGAATGCTGGGGAGCTTGTAGGAAAACAGGGCTTCTGGGTTCTTTACATCCCTCCGCTTATTCTTCCAGCCATGTGCTTTATCTCTAGACAAGACAGACTGAGTGGAAATTTTTCACTGGGGATTTGGGTTTTATGAGATATGCATTTTTTTCTGCAAAATACAATTAAGGTTTACAGACTCTCACCAATAGCAATCACCTCCCTTACCTCACAGGAACCTGGCAGCGTCTGGGAACAGGCCCTGAGGAAGCGCAGAAGGCCAGGTGGTAAGAATCCAAGGTGACAGCCCGAGCTTACGACCTTTATTCTGCTTTGTATAGTTGATTATTTCATGTTCATGGGCTAAAAGGCTCAATATTATTAAGATGTCAATTCTCCCCAACATATAGAACTGAGAAGTACAGGTGTAAAAAAGAAAAAATAATAAGGCAAAAATTATTAAATTAAAAAAAAAATTCTCCCCAACATAATTTATAGATTCAATATAATCCAAATCTCATGAAGCTAATTTATAGATATCAGCAAACTTATTCTAAAGTTTATATGAAAAGGCAAAAGACAGAGGAGAACAACACAACGTTTAAGAAGAACAACAAAGTTGGAGGACTCATACTACCCAATTTTAAGATTTACTATAAAATTACAATAACCAAGACGGAATGGTATTGGGGAAAGAATCGTCTTGTCAACAAGTGGCGCTTGAAAAAGCAGACATTTACATATGTAAGTAAAAAAAAAAAAAAGAACTTAGACACAGACCTTACACTTTCCATGAAAATAAATTCAAAATAGATCATAAATCTAAATATAAAATACAAGCTATACAACTTCTAGAGAACATAGGAGAAAATCTAGATGACCTTGGGTTTCGTGATGAGTTTTTAGATACAACACCAAAAGCACAATTCATGAAAGAAATAATTGGTAACTTAGAATTTATTAAAATTAAGGATTTCCACTCTGCAAAAGACACTACTGAAAAGGCAAGCCATGAAGTAGGAAAAATACTTGTAAAACACATATGTGTTAAAAAACATGTATTCAAAATACACAAAGAACTCAACAATAAGCAAACAACTCAATGAAAAAAATGGACAAAAGACCTAAAAAGACATCTTGCTGAAGAAGATATAGATGGCAAATAAGATATAAGATGCTTAACATCATTTATCATTAAGGAATTGAAAATTAAAAACAATTAGATACCATTACACACTTACTAGAATGGCTAAAATCCAAACACACCACTATTTACTGGAGAAGGAGGCATAGAACAACACACATTATTGATGGAAATGCAAAGACAATTTCTTACAAAGCCAAGCATAGTCTATCACATGATCTAGCAATGGCTCTTCCAGGTATTTACCCAATTGATTTGAAAATGTATTTTTACACCAAAATTTCCATGTTTATGTTATGAATAGCAGCTTTATTCATAATCACCTAAACTAGAAGCAATCAAGACATTCTTCGATAGGTGAATGGGTAAATAAACTGTGTACATCCATAAAATGGAATACTGTTCAGCAATAAGTGGAAATGAGCTGTCAAGCAACAAAAAGACATGGATGAATCTTAAATGCATATTGCCAGATAAAAGAAGCCAGTCTGAAGAAGTTAATACTGTATGGTTCCAACTATGTAGCATTCTGAAAAAGGCAAAATTATAGTGTTGGTAAAAAAAAGGTAAGTGGTTACTAGGAGTTTTGGGGAGGACTGAATAACCACTGGAAATTTTTTAGGCAGTGTAACTATTCTGTATGACATTGTAATGGTGGAAATATGATACTATGCATTTTTGAGAATCCATACAAAGCCAGGCATGGTAGCTCATACCTGTACTCCCAGTATTTTGGGAGGCTGAGATGGGAGGACTGCTGGAGGCTAAGACTTTGAGACCAGCCTCTGCAACATAGCAAGACCCTGTTTCTACAGAAAAATTAATCAGGCATGATGTCACATGCCAGTAGTCCCAGCTACTCAGGAGGTTGAAAAGGAGGATTGTTTGAGCCCAGGAATTTGAGGAATATGAGTTATGATCATGCCACTATCTCTAACTGGGGTACCAGAGTGAGACTGAGATCCCATCTCAAAAAACAAATAAAATAAAAACAAATAAAAAAAACCCCAATAAGACAATAACCAAAACCCTACAGAACTTCACAACACACAGAGTGAACCTCAAAATACACAGATTTTAAGAAATCATTTAAGAAGTTGAGAAATCCCAGGATGGAATGCAAGATGTGACAAAATAATCTATCTGTATTACATATATACGAAACAACTTCTTGAAGGGTATAGGGAGAATGTGCTCACCTTAACAACTTTGGAAATTAGTGGAGTCTATAAGACTTTATACAAAAGAAACTGCATAAGCACTATACTTGATATGGGCTGCTTTGTTTCTCCCAAAATTCGTATGTTAAAGTCCAAACCCAGGACCTCAGAATATGATTGTATTTGGAAATAGGGTCTTTAAAGAAGTCACTAAGTTAAAATAGGCCATTAGAGTGGATCCTAACCCAATCTTACTGGAGTCCTTATAAGAGGAGGAGATTAGGACACACAGAGAAATAGCAGGGAGGCAAGTGCAGAGAGAGGGGACTGTGAAGAGGCACCAATAGGGCAGCCATCTGCAAGCCAAGGAAAGAGGCTTGGAAGGAATCCTTCCCTTATGGTCTTCAGAGGAAATCAACCCTGTTGGCACCTCAATCTTGGACATCCAGCCTCCAGAACTGTGAAAAAATAAATTTCTGTTTTTTAAGCCCCTCAGTTTGTGGTATTTTGTTATGGCAGCCCTTGCAAACGAATACAGTACTCTAATTGATAAAGTTGTTTCCCACGGCAGTATGGGTGAACAATTCTGATATCACTCTACATGTGTTGGAGGAAACAATTAAATAGACGGCAAATGGTGGGAGCCGGGCTTCTTACTGTTGCAATGAGAGGAAGCTAGAATGATCCACATGGTAACAGATCAGAATTAGAAATACCAGTATGAGTTGATGTTTAGCTTAATATAGATGCAGATGTTTCCATATAGAAATATTTATAGACATGTGTATATATATAAGTATACATATAATTTCTTGCTTTGCCATGTGAGAAGACCTAAAAGATATGACACCCCAGTAGCAGGGAGCATACCTACCACCCAGATCTTGGTTTCTATTACCATTCTCCAATAAAAGGAGCCAGGGGGATCCTCAGAAAAATACCTAGGACTGGGGTGAGAAGTATACAAAAGGAGCTTGAAGCATTTTGTGGTACCAGAAAGAAAGGATGTACTCCCCCGCCCACCCCTGCAAAAAAACCCAACATAAAACAAAATGAAAAACAAAGAAAACCACAACAAAATACTCAGCAATGATGGAGGTATGTCAAAGAGACACAGGAGCCAACTAAAAGAGCTCCCAGTGAGCAGATCTAGAACAATTTGAGCAACAAAATAAAGTAGTATTGGATTATAATCCAAAGTAAAAAATAACTATCTAGGATCGACCTTGGTCACCTGGCTGAGATACTGTTTGGCAGGTTTCTCCATTCTCTTTTGCCCCCTTTCCATACTGTATTCTTTGGAAGGAAGTCATTGTAGGAAGCCCACACTTAAGGAGTGAAGATTATGGTCTGTTTCCTTAAGGGAGGAATAGTTATTTAGTATTTTTCTAAAAGGAGATTTATCTCCTCCCTCATTATTTATTTGCTCATTTATTTATACCAGTATGGTATAAATCAAGGTTGATACCAACACTAATAAGTCATGTTGAGAGTATGTTCCCTTGAAATGATGTGATGAAAATGGGAATTCACTCCTGTGGTCATTCTCCCCCAAATCCATAATCACAGTCTAATCACAAGGAAAACATCAGACAAATCCCAACTGAGAGATATTCTGCAAAACATCTCAAATTGTTAGGGTCATAAAACAAGGAAAGTCTAAGAAACTGTCACAGCCAAGAAGAGCTAAGGAAACATGACTAGAAAAAGTAATGTGATATTCCAGATGAGATCCTGGGCCAAAAAAAAAAAAAAAAATAGGTATTAGGTAAAAACTTAGGAAATCTGAATAAAGTATGGGTTAGTTAATAATAATACATCAATATTGGTTCATTAATTGTGACGAATGTACCATCTGAACATAAGATGTTAATAATAGGGAGATCTGGGTGTGGGGTATATGGGAATTCTCTGTGCTATCTTAGCAACATTTCTGTAAATCTAAAACTGTTCTAAAATAAAAAGTTTGTTTAAATAAAAATGGTGTACCTTAAAATCAAAAACATCTTAAATTTATTGAACTATGGCATTATCCCCACTGTACAGATAAGGAAATCAAGACCAAAGATATGAAGTAGCAGAGTTCAGAACAGTTCTTATACGGGACAGTTTCTCTTATCTTCCTGAGGAAGTTTCTGACTACTGGTCAGTGAGGACTGTATGCCCCAGCGGTATGCTGGTAAATGCGTAACAGTGGCTTTCCAAAGGGGGGAAAAAACCTTGATCTGTAGTGTCTGCTGATTTTCATAGTATAAATACTCTCAGGACTGCTGATTTGAAACTACCAACATTGAACACAGGCTTGGGAAGAGATTGCACAATCAGCTTTCCCAGTGGGTGCTGTAGCTGGCTCACACCAGCTCATGAGCACACTGTTAAATCTTCATAACTCTGTGAGCTGGCTGTTAAATATGGGTAGCTTGCACCTGGACCCAGGGGAAGTATTCACATCACAGAAATCCTCAAATGCTACAACAAGTCAGAGTTTGGGGTATTTTTTGAAACCCAGTTTATCAGCATATCATCAAAACACCGGAGTGGCAACTCAAGGTTCCGTCTGTGTCATTAAGAGACCAAGTGTCCTTGGACAAGTTACACAGTGTGAGGAGTTTCAGTTTATTCATCTATAAAAGATAGAATGAGAGTAGCTAAGCTCTCAAATATTCTTCCACCTCTGATATTCTATTAAATAGTAGGCTCATCTTTCACAGGTCCCACGTGTTGTCCAGATACAACCCAGGATACGGCTGCTTCCAGTGCTCTGACAGTCATCCTGCAGCCCTCAGGCTGGGGTCCTGGCCTCCCCTCTGGCCCTATTGCTCACCAGGCCTCACCTTGTGCTCTGAGTTCCAAGCAAATAGAAATTCTTTAGACCCACAGACCCATTTGGTGTTCCCCCCTCCCCACAGCAAGCCTTCCCACATCCTGTTCCCACTTTTCTATGTCTTCTTACTCTGGCCAACTCCTTCTTATCCTACTGGGACTCTCTGGGAGAGGTCGCTTCCCCCAGAAGGCCTTCCTCGACTTTCTGTAGGTTAGCTGAGGTATCCCTGCTATGTGTTCCCCGGCAGCATGTTATAATTCCCCTATCATAACTCTTAACCAGTTTCTGCTGTTATTGATTGTTTTAACATCTGCCATCCCTGCCCAAATTCAAGTGCCGAGAGGGCAGAGATTTTGCCTCTTTTCCTTACCATGGCATCTCACAGGCCTACATCTGGCACACCAACAACTTAGTTGTCGTTGACCGAATAAATGAACATCTGCTTAAACACACTGATCTCCAAAAACAGACTTTTTTCTGGATTGCTCCTCAAGACAGATTGTATAAACTCAGACAGAAATCCCCTTCCGATAGCCGCTTTTGCATAAGCAAATTCACAATAAAGGAGGGGATTTCATCAGAAAGATGCACCACTTCCGAGAAGGTGTTGACACATGGGTGTGGGATTCTCAATTCCGACAGGACCAGGACTTTCTAAGCAAGCATCCCCTGCCCTGTGCCAGGAGTTCTGGCTCATGTGGTCAGTTATAGCCCTTGAGGGAGCTCTGCTCACCACAGGGATAAATACTTAAGTTGGCAACATCAGAGCCTCAAAATGGTATTTGTTTTAAGAAGGATGATTGTGGATAAATTAGAGAGGGAGGAAAACCCATAGACCATGATTTGATATGCAGACAGCAGAGCATGGGACCACCTGCCAATGAAGTCCCACATTCCAAGGAATTGCAAGAATCATGTGCTAGCATCTCTAAATTCTCCTTCAGGGGCACCTGGGCATTCTTGCTACTTAGCTTCAGTTACCCTCTCGAGCCTTGCTGAGGTCATTTTGAGACAGCAATTTTAGAAATTCATTTCTTGATTCTGTTCAAGGCATTCCAAAACTAAACAATCTTAGGATAACAGAGTTAGATCATTCAATCTGGCCTTCGTATTTTATGGGCAGGGAAACTGAGGCCCAGAGAGGAGAAGACTAAGGCCATCCAGCCAAGGCACAGTTCATCAGGGTTCTGGCCCCTGAGTCATAGCCTGGTGCTCTTTTCATTGAAGCAATTCATCAACCAGACATTGTGAAGACAAAAAGACATGTGGAGTGGGGCAATGCACACAGGAAGGAGGCCCAGGGAAAGGCTGGTCCAGCAAGAAGTCCATTAGAAAATGTCTTCTGTGGCCAAATATATTTAGAAAATCCCCCCCCTTACCCAGAAATGTTTTCTTAATAAATTTGAACAGGGAGGTCAAGAAATCATGGGCCATTGGGTACAATAAAAGATTTATCCATAACCCGTGGAAGCCCTATGGGATCATTCAACCAAGAGTTACAATGCAGTGCAAGAAGTGCTATAATATAATGTAAGGGATGTGACCTTAAAAGGAGGAAGGAATAACTAACTTTGCTAGAAAAGGCTAGGGAAAATGAGCTGAAGCTGAATCTTAAAAGAGGAGAAAGAGTTAATGAAAGGTATCTTGTTCCAGGAAAGGGCATGGCATTCCTAAGCAAAGGTGTCAAGCGGTGGAAGGATGTTGTGCCGTGACTGTTGATGCTCAGGATCTAGGTAACACATGAACATTGTGTGGGGGTGTGCCACGGGGTCTGTCAACGGGCACCCACGTTAGGTTTGAGACGTGACCTGGAGAGGAACTTGGTGAGTAAAGCCCTTGGGAAGATAGGAGGGGTTATCATGCAGGGTAGAAAGTGACCTGTGTATGATCTGAGATGAAACCAGTGACAGGGTCAGCTTGTGGATGGCTTTGAGTAAGCAGCAGAAGAGGTTGGACATTATCTGGAGATAACACAAAGTCACTGTAGGCTTCTGAGCAAGAAAGTGCTCTAACTCCTTGCTTTATGAGAACTAAGCGGCCAGGAGTGGTAAGAGACGAGACCCAGAAGGAGAAAGAAGGTGGCAACAGCCAGCAATATTGCTCTTCAGCCTGTTGCCATGTGACCAAGAAGAGAAGCCGATTAAGTGTGGTCCCAACAGCCTCCACTCACTATAGCACCCCTTACTACCCCCCCGCCCCAGCCTGAGTCCCCTCGAAACCAGCAGCCAACTGGGAGGGACCAGCTTCAGATCCTCCTACAGGACTCTGCTTACCATGGCAAAGCTGTCGATTGTTTGCTAAAACAATTCCCATTTTAGCAGCTCAATCATTAGCCAAAGGCATTAAAGAAACAAAAATACTATGACCAAACCTTGAAGAATTTAGTCTCTGCTGCTGAACACATTTATTATTAGTAATATTTGTTCCAAGATCTCTGCTTTCTATAGAACATGGCATAATCATAAAATAAAAGTAATTCACAGATAACAAATTTCCCTTTACAAGACAGGTGTTGATGTCTCAAATGAGCCCTTGTTTGGACGATTCTACCCAGGCAAGGCATTTCCATCAGTTTGCCACCGGCAGAATACATTTGTGGTAAGATTTTTTGAGATGGACAAAGTAAATCTTATCAACTGTGCGCTTGGCCACTAGCAGCAGCTAATATTTAGCAAGCATTTACTGTGTACCAGACACAGTTGTAACTGGTTTAGTTTTATTGACTCATTTTAGCCTTGCAATATCTCTGTGGGGGAGGCAATAACCCCATGTTACACATAAAGAAACTGAGGTTTAGAGAAGTTAAGTTCCTTGCACAAGATCATACATCCAGTGAGTAGCAGAGGCAGTTTAAGCCCAGGGTTTCCAGAACTGTTCCTTAAGCATCGTACTGGGTCTTCAGCTTTTTGCTAGGTACCAGGCGACATGCAAAAAGCAGGAGATGACAGAGTCCCTGATAACTTTTTCTTTGAACACACATTACTAGCTGAAACACTCAAACAAATTTAATCAGGAATTTCCCCCTGGTTCCAAACTTCCTGTTTGCTCTGAACCTCTGATGTCAATGGCAGTCAGAATTCTACTTCTGAGCTGGGCAGCAATACGGTGGCTTTCTCAGAGGAATGTAAACTTGGCTCTCATCCCAACCAGCTCCGTTCTCCTCTCCCCTCCCTTCCCCTTTGTCATGTCACAATGATTTCAGCCCCCATTATTACCAGCAGGTAATGCTGCATGACATCAGTTTGGGTATAGATGATCTCACCTGCAAGTAAATTTAAACCCATAAAAAAGTGACCTGAAAAACTCCTGAAAAATTCATGTTAGTATTTAGCATTCCTCTGTTAAGGGGCCGAGCCCTTCAATGATACAATACAGTAGAGGGACAGAACGGGTCTTACTACTACAATGCACATTTCCAAAGTCAGCTTCTTTACTGGAACAAGTCCTGGAGCAGGTGGTGGGGAGCTCATGAAAGTGGCCGAGTGCAAAGGGAGACTGATGGGGAAATCGAGGCACCAAAAATACTGTAGCTTTCCAGTGCAAACAGATCTGTCAGCTGTCCCAGGCCTTGGTTACTGTCATGCACATGTATTGAAATGGAATTTTGCCTGGTGGTGAGATCAGAGCCCTGCTGTCGACTGGTCCTTAACTTGCACAAGAGACACAGACTGGCACGTCCACCAGCCTGCTCCTCCCTACAGGGGCGTTACTGCACTGCCATCATTGCAGGTGTGTCTGCACCCCCGCAGACGTGGGCTCAGCCCCCAAAACAACCTCCAGGAGCATTTTTATGCTCAGCAGCTCATTTAGCTCTTACAATTTATGTCAAGTCCATAAGTCTGGCTGTATTTTTAAATATTTGTTAGTAGCACCATTTCATAGAGGAAGAAGCTGTGCTCAGAGAGATGAAGTCATTTCCCCAGGGCTACACAGTTAGTAAGCGGCAATAGTGGGACTTGAACATAGGTACTCCATATTCATTTGCTAGAACTGCCATAACACAAAACTACATATCAGGTCACCTAAACAACAGGAATTTATTTTCCCACAGTTGTGATGGCTGGAAGTCCAAGACCAAGGTGCCAGCAGGGTTGGTTTCTTCTAAGGCCACTCTCCTTGGCTTGTCTCTTTTCTCCTGGTGTCTTCACATGGTCTTCCCTCTGCTTGTCTGTATCCTGCTCTCTTCTTGTAAGGACACCAGTCATATTGGACTAGAGCCCATCCATATGGCCTCATTTTGCCTTAATTACCTCTCTAAAGGCTCTATCTCCAAATACAGTCAATAGTCTGGGGTACTGGAGGTTAGAGTTTCAACATATGAATTTGGAGAGGACACAACTCAGCCTATAACACTCTATGACTCCAAAACTCTATGCTCTCCATTCATCCAACCAATATTTTTGGAGTCTACTAGGTGCTAAAGATTGTACTCAGCAGGTCTGCAAATGTTTTCTCATGTAATTTTCTAAATAGTCTAAGGAGGTCCACATTAGAATTCCCATGATACAATGAGGAAACTATATTTCCAGCATTTTAATTATTCTGCCCAAAACACAACGAAGATGAGGCAGACCCAGGATTCAGTCCCAGTCCTCTGACCCCAAACTCTGTGCCGTCTCCAATATCCACCTTAGCTTCACGCACAAAACCGTGGCTGGCAGCAACAGGGACAAGGTGACCCAACAATGGCACCCTCAGCTGGTGGTGGGATATGTGCAAGATCTCATTTTTAGAAAGATCATAAATCCTAGGGATAACAAAAATATCTACTTTATAGGACTGGTGTGATGATTAAATGAGTTAATATATGTAAAGTGCTCAGAATAGGGTCTGGCTCATAACAAAGGCTAAATAAGTATTTTGCTATTATTGTTGTTACTGCTACTGCTACTGTTACTATTAGTATTGACTTCTGCATAAAGAACGTAGATTTTGAATACCCACAACTACTTTTCTCCCTTTCCACAGAGATGGGGAGAACAGAAAAAACAAAAACAAAAAAACAGCAACACAATTTTGGAAGCTGGGAAGCAAATGGATGAGTGGTAACTCACTCAGTAGACCCAAGAAAACTGAGTCTTGAACCAGCAATGGGGAAAGATTAATAAAATTTATGCTGCAGAATTCCACCGCCACCCCCAAATCAGGCATAATCAGTAATAATTACATGCAGAAATGAGGGTGATGTGGAAAGAGATAAAATAAAGAGATGTGGCTGAAAAGCTATTATAAATCCAGATTCTCTTTTTCTCTGCTCCAGAGGTTTATGGGTTTTTCTCTGGAGAAGAGAAACAGGGTCTCCAGACTGGACGGGAGCAGGCGTGGGCACCAGGGTACAGCACTGAAAACAGGAGGATTAAACATCCATGTGCTCCGGAAGCTGGGCCCTCCAACCCTCTTCCTTCGCTTGGCTCCAGAGGTGCTGGCTGCCAGGCCCTCTCCCTTCTAGAGGGACAGGACTCTGGAAGAGTCTTCCCAGGGTAATCTAAGGACTCCAAGAGGAAAGGCTTAAATATTTTGAAAGACACACCCAACTAAGTGGTCAGCCAGATAAATCCATAATGAACCCCAAGTTGATGAATCTAATATCTGAATGATAGTTCCAGAAAGAGAAAACAGAAGAGATGGAATCATTAAAGGAATACAAAAGACATTATCCAGAACTGATTTTCCAAATTGGAAAGATCTTACCCAGGGCCCAGTTCAATGAATGAACATAGACCTATACCATATCATTGGGTAATTTTAGAATAATGGTGACAGAAAGCTCTAACTCACTTCCAGAAAAAAAGAAATAGATCCATACAAAGGATCAAGAATCAAAACTGCGGCTCCAGACTTCTCCATAGCAACACTGAGAACTGGAAAACAATGGAACAATGCCTTAAAATGGAATGAAAATGGCTTTCAATCTAGAACCCTATTGCCCAGTTAGACTCTTCATTGAGTCTAAGAGCAAAATAAAGATGATTTTTAGATATAAAAGGAAGGTCTTGAAATTTTACTTCCTATACATTTTTTTCTCAGAAAACTCCTGGAGGTGTTTCACCACATTGAGGGACCACACAAAAAAAGAGGCAGACATGAGATACAAGAAAAGGAGCTTCAGCTGAGAAAGAGGGAAGAGGAAGCTGAGGGTAACAGTGAAGGGAGAGCCCGGGGACAGCTCTGTGGCAGGCACGGAGAGCATCAGACAGACTGCAGCAGCTGAGAGGTCCCAGGAGAAAGCCACCCAAGAATGAGAAACTGACAGAATACTGATGGCATCTAAATATCCTAAGGGGAGACATGGACCATCTGTGGAGAGTTGGTGGTTGAAGCAATTCTATGTACATAGAAAACAAAGAGGTAATTATTAACTTCAGGGAAAACAAACAAAAAGTATAGGAAAGAAAAAGTAATGCCAGCATATCACCTGACAATACAGTATTCACAGGCATGATATTGTAGACAATATATATTCATTCAATTTAAATTATAGTAAACTATTAATATATTGAGAGGACAGGAGGTTGGGAAGGGTGGATAGTGGGTGTGAAATAGAACTGAATCCTCATCTTCCTAGTGGAAAGTCACTAGGTAATGCCGAAAATAAAATTTTAAAAAAGTAACAACAAAATAATGTTATTTAGAAATACAGAGGTCCATGCCAGAAGAGTGAGCTACAAGAGTTGAAGGTGGTTGCATTTTCAGAAGGGGAAATGGGGAAAGGGAGGTCAGAAAACCATTAATACTTTTTATTTCCCTAAACACCTTGTAGAACTGTTTGACCCTTTATCTAAATATGAATCTTTGATTAAAATAACATCTAAGCTTTATACTATCTCATTGTGTAATCCTGGGTGAGTTACTGTCCAATTTTGATTTCTAAGTTCTGCATCTATAAAATGGAGGAGTTGGATTGTAGTCCCCAAAGATATCCTTGATTTAACATTCACTTGTGATTCCTGCCACAGTAGCTGATATCCTCCCATTAGAGACTCAGCCCTTACAGCCTTATAAGTTTTATGTTAAAATGTCATTTTCTATAATGGGTAGGGGGACACTGACAGCTGAGAACAATGCTCTGCAGGGAAAACGATCTTCAAGGACCCTCAGGGACTCTCTAAGGGCCAGGTCCTAGAACCCTGGCAAGGCAAAAGAAGGGGATCACCCTACCTCCTTCTGCTCCCCCGCTTTATATCAGCTTAAAAAACTTGACAACGTATTGAAAGGAGATGAGACTAAACAGTAGACCTTCCAGTTACTAATGCAGGTTTAACCGGAGGCCTTCATCAAGTCAAGAAATCCCTAACTGTGCCAATGGCAGGACAGGATTCCATGAACAGAGGCACACACTTGCCCCTCTGACGAGCAGGACAGCAGGACAGAGTTTATATCATAACTCCATATTCATTTTCCGGGGAGGCCCAGCTTGGCAAGCACAGCCAGGGACCTTGTACATCCCCCCAGCTCTTTCTAGGAAAACCCCACCTAAGCCCCTGCTTTCAGGCCTTGTCCCTAGCTCTAGAGAGAAGATGCCACTTAAGACAGGTTTATAAGGTACACTGAGGTCTTGACTAAATCTTTGTTCCTTGCTTTTAATTCTTTATTTGTTGTTGTTACATTTTATATCTTTGCCTCTAACCCTAGCAAGGGCTAGAGGTATGCCCTTCCCCTCCATACGGCTCACCACAGCGCTCAGATGTGGGTCTACCCCCCAAACCCCCAAATCCCTGGCGAGCACCACCACCATCTGAGCACCACAGTGTTAATCAGTCAGTACCAATTTGATGGCGAGTATATGTGGAGCCCAATTTTCTGCTCTTGTGTCACCTCACTTTGGATAATGGGCTTAAACTTAATCCAGGATAATATACCTTGCTTTTAATTCGTAAGTGACTTTTTATAAACAACATGGTCAACAAGGAAAGCCTTTTCTAAGCACCTCCCGCGTGCTCAGGCAGAGGCCGCGCACAGGTGCCCTCTCTCCCCCTTGTTTCCCCACTGCCCGATTGTGGTGCCAGGCGCCGGGAGGACTGCTCGCGGGGAGTGATGGCAATGGCTCAGCAAGGGTCCAAAGGCTTGGACAACTTAAGGAGCAGGAGAAGTTTAGAACTTACAACTTCCTCCTTTGGTGGATAAAGACCAAATTTTAGTGCTGGAAATGACGAAATGTTAGTCATGCACAATACATTCCATAAATAAAATGCCTTGAAGTTTCCTACTTGTCTTCACATCCGCTACCATACTCTGACTTCCAGCAACCACTCTCGACTACCTTTTGGAGGAGACGAGGCAGGTATTATCTGAACTTCACACCAATGGAAACCGGTCACAAAGAGCTTCTGGAACTCTGTCAAGAAGATTTCTTGGGGGATTCTCTAGAAACTCTTAAACTGTTTTACCCTTGCGTGGCTATGAGGTTGGTGAAAGGAAACTAACTTAATGTCTTGCTTTATTGCTTACTTTTTCCTTTTTCCTATGACTACTGCTTTTATAATTTTTAAAAAAGAGTTTTAAAAGGCAAGAAGGATTAGGAATCCCTTTTTGGAGCCCAGGTGGGATGGAAGATCTGCAGTGTCCTTTGAATAGATATTAATAAAAATCAGTTTGAAGCACAATAGACTAGTTAACATTTATTGAGGACTTACTGTGTGGCAGACATTATTCAAAATTATTTAGACCTATTAACTCATGACATCCCTACGACCTCGTGAGATAGGTACAACTATGAATCCCCCTTATAGACGAGGACACTGGGGCACAGAGCCCTCGGCCAGGGCTGTGGAATCTACGTCCTTCACCCCCCTCATGCCGCACAGTGCTCCTGGCCTCTGGACCATCAATAGTAAGACGATGCGGTCATCTGCCATGTTTTTCCCTCTCCTCCCAGGGTCCCCAGCTCCCCTTGCTGTCTAAGGCAGATCACAAGATCTCTCTTCCATGACACATGGCCAGAGGAGCATTCTCTGAGAGTCATTGAGCCCACCCATATGACCTTATTTTGGAAGAGGAAAGATCCAAAATTTAAATAACATGCATGAGCGCTGAGCATTAAATAGAGGAGGAGAAAGTTCCCTAAGTCAATTTAAGGCAGAAGACTAGCCCTTCAAAACCTCCACCTCTCATGGTGTGTAAGTGTGTAAGGCAGGGAGTAGTTTAAAAGCCATGGTTAGGAAGAGTGCAAACAGATGATCGAATGCATTCTTCCACCACAGCACAGAGGTGGCACAGGAAGCCCCAGGAGGGGACACAGAGACAGAGCCCTGTGGCAGCCTGGGGTGGGGAGCCTGACCCCAAGAGGGACCAAAGGAAAGGGGGCTGTGCCTATCAGCATGGGCTCTCTTTCAAGTGTGAACCACTGGCCAGAGGAATGACTTCTCTCAATTCTTGGACACTGGCCAATTAGCTAATTAGTTTGCATATAAATTCCAACAGGAAGGCTGGAAAATTCAATCTTAGCTTCAGCGATGAAGTTCACCCTCCAAAACCTGGCTTTGCTGATCTCCCAAATAAATCTTCTCTATCACACAAATATCGCACAAAATGTGATCTCTGCCTGGCTTCGGAATATCCAGAAGCAAACGGGCAAGGACACACACAGCCTGTCAGCCTCACACAGGCCACCGCACTCAGCCTTCTGCTGGCAGCTTGAAACATAGTCCTCATGAATCTATAAAATAAGAAGGAATGGGGTCCTTTTCTTCCTTGTAGGGTCAAGGAAAAAAATTGTGTTGTATATTAGGAATGCTTTAAACAGAGAATTTCAAGAAATACACACCTATGAGGCAACCCACTGGGTTGGAAAACTCTGGAGCAATACAGACTGGAAGAACAAATATTTATTGACCACTTACTACAAGTACAGCATGGTCTCAGGCCAACTAGGTAAGCTCTGTCATGTGGAATTCTCAACACGGAATAGGTGTCATGAGCAAAAACACAAGGTCCGCAAAGGGAACCTGCTAAACGCATGTACAGAGAGACACTTTGTCGCTCAGAGAAGGCGTGCTCCACCGCAGGCAGGGTGGTCGGGAGGGGGCTGTGAAGAGCTGGGGTGCTTGGCACCATCCTCAAGGCAGAACAGAATTTCTCTCAACCTGTGATCCCCAATCACCTGGGGCACACTTTAAAAAAATACAGATTCCTGAGCCCCATATATCAGATTCATTGAATCAAAAGCTTCAATTCCAGAGTGTTGCCCTAGAATCCATATTCTTTCATATTATGATGATGGCAAAAAAATACACAAAAGTAGAGAGAACAATGAACTCCATGTGGCCATCGTCCAGTCTCAGCAATCACTAGCCCAGAGATGCTCTTTTTTTTTTTTTAACCTATATCCTTATGTACTTTCCCTCCTCCAGTGTTATAAAATATATATACATTTTAAACTAGGACCCTGAGGCAGTCAGACCATGGATGTGAACTGGGAACCATTGATCAAGATGCATATTAAGAGCAAGGGAATCCCAGGAACAGTGGGCACAGAGGCTCAGAGGAAGGAAGGAGAACAGTGTTAGGGGGAAAATGGCAAGTCATTTGGGGTAAGTACCTACATAGAAGGAATGGGGGTAAGGGCCAAAAGACCGGGGGTGGACAGGGCTCTGTTAACACATATGGTGTCTTTCTGAGAAGCACAAAAAGGCAGGTCCTCTGGGCAGAAAAAGCGCCCCTTTCCCGGGGCTGAAGCCACCCAGGCAAGGGGAGTGGGGCTGGATACCTTTGACTTCCATGCCGGGCCCAGACCACAGAGCCGTGCACCGCGGCCCCAGGGCCAGGCCGTGAGGGGTCTGGGCCCCAAAGAGGTCTGGACTTTATCTGGTGAGGGTTGAAGGTGCTAAGAAGGAGAGCGTGTGATGGTCTGTACTTTAAAAGAATACTGGACAGCAATGGAGGAGGCGGGGGCGGGGGGAGGAGGAGGGAGAAAACCAAGAGGCAGTGAGTGGGTTGAGTCAGTCAACTACTGCAAACCAGCCAGGGAAGAAGGGAGAAGGCCTCAAGGTCAAGCCTTGGTGGGGGGAGGTTTGGGGGAGAGATCTTGTGTGGGGTTCTGGGGATAACTGGGGACTGGCAGAGAGAGATGCTGGATTTAGCGATATGTGAGTCACTGGCCTAGGGAAGTTATTTGAAGCCGTGGGAAGATTGTGATTGCCCAGGGAGAGTATTTAGGGTAAGAATAGAGGGATGAAGGCCCTGGGGAAAACCGGCCTTTGAGGATGAAGGGTAGGAAAGGAAGGAGAGCCAGCCAAGGTGGTGGAGATTGAGGAGAAATGGTCGAAGGAGAGAGGGAGAGAGAACAGCACATAGAAGCCACAAGAGCAATTGGTATGGCGAGAGGAAAGCATTTGTTTAAGGAAGCAGGGATTTAAGGGAAGGCTGAGTTTTAGAGTACCTAGAATGAGAAGCTAAAGAGCTTGGAGATGGGCTTGAAAAGGCAGAGTGACAAGTGTTACAGAGTATAGCAGACTTGGTCAGTCAGTTACATTTCCTATGTCCGTCATTGACTGAGTATGGCCTTGGACGAATTATTTAAGGTGAGTCTCTGCATCCTGTTAGTAAAATGTAGAAGGCTGTACCCACTCTACTAGGGATGGCATGGGGAAGGCATCTCAAGGAATGGCAGTTTTTTTTCTTGTCATTGGCACCTAGCGATGCATCGTCTTGTTGTATGATCTTCCACATACTCAACTCCTGCATCCTACCTAGCTTGTAAATTGCTTTGGGGATGGGGACTAGGGTTTGAAACTAACTAAAGTCAGTGGTCATATGCTGGTATTTACTATGCACAAAACAAGAACAGGTTGAATAAAAGAAGATGGAGAGTTTTAAAAAAAGTAGTGGTCCTTAAGAGAGTCTGCAATTTAGTGAAGGATCCACATTTGACATCTAATCCCAACACAAGGCAAGCAGTGGTAGGTATAGCAATGAAAGTCTCAAATTGCAATTCATTCCCAAATGAGAGTGTGAGGGATAGAGAGACCTCGCTATGGCCAATGGGACCAGGCAGGTGGTATTGCACGAGGCTTCGGGGCTGGACAGAGGAGGTGGAGAGAGAGAAGCACAGCAAAGTTGGGAGTTGGCAGGTGAATTTGAGGAAAGTTAAGAACCCTTCATGGGTTCAAAACACAGTGTGTGGGAAATGAGGAGAGAAAGGTGTATTGGGCTGTGGCAGACACAACCTAAGGTGACCACCAAGAAGTCACACCCTGGAATAATCCCATAACCCCCTTCCCTTCCTTTGAATATGGTAGAACTCACAACTTACCTCTAACCAACAGAATAGAGCAAAGCTGATGTGATATCACTACTTTAATTATGTGACATTGTATGGCAAAGGCAAAGGGATTTTGCAGATATATTTAAGGCTTCTAATCGTTTGACTTTGAGTTAATCAAAAGGAACATTATCTTGGATGAGCCTGATTAAAACCATTGAAAAGAGGGTCCCCGAAGTAGAAGACTTAAAGCAGAAAAGACTTGCTCTCTTGCTGGCCTTGAAGAAGCCAGCCACAGGAGTTCTACAGCCTCAAGGAAAAAAAGTTCTGCCAATAAGCACATGAGCTTGGAAGACAAGCCCAAACTTGAGACGAGAATGCAGCCTGGCTGACACCTCAACCATAGCGTGTGAGACCCTGAGCAGAGGACCTAGATAAGCCACGCCTGGACTCCTGACCATTAGAAACTGCTAGGTAATAAGCAGGTGCTCTTTGAAGCCTCTAAGTTTGTGGTAATTGGTTATGCAGCAACAGTAAACAAATCCATGGACTGGTGTTGCAGAGAGCCACGAATAGGAGGCTAAAAAGTATGGGCTTTATTATATGGGCTATACCAAAGCACTGATTATTTTTTTACCTTGCTCTGGGAAGCTAAGAAATGGCAGAAGGAAGAAAAGCCTGGTGGGGGGGTTGATCAGACCTCCTCTGAAGAATATGTAAGCCAGGGCATAGTTCCCAGGAGGTCAGTAAATTTTAGGTGAGTGACTAAGTTCTAGATTAAACCAAACCAGCTACTCTTCTACCCAATTAAAGAAAAAAGGGGGGGGGGGAAAGAGGAAGAAGCAAAGACCAAGAAATTGGCAGCCAATGAAAAAAACCTTAAGGAACTTCAATGTCCTTGTTGCTAATTATAAATATTTACTCCTCCCAGAATTCCTGACCTCACAGAATAGCCTACGTCAATAGCCTTGCTCCCTTACTGGAAGATCAGCGTGCGCGTGCACGTGAATGTGTGTGTGTGTGTGCATGCGCAGCGAGTGTGTGTGTGCGCCTGTGTGCGTGTTTCTTGGAAGGGGACTGAACAATAATAAAGGACAGGACGATCTTCAAAAAGTCACTTCCTGTCGGACATTGCCTAGTTCCCATTCTCCACCCCCGACCCCAGATCATAAACCCTCCAGCTCCCTAGCAACTCCTCCTTCCCTGATTCTATCTGCTGGAGACGACTAAGCTAAACAAACTCAGGAAGTGGCAAGAGATTGGGAAGGGGAGGAAGCTCATGGCACACAAGGAAGAAGTAAAGAGAATGCCCTGGTATTCAAGGAAGAGGGTGGAGGAGAGAGAAAAACCAAGGTCGAGCCAAGGTCACCTGGCGCCAAGCCTTTAAAATGTCCTGCTCGAGCTTTAAATCAAAACTGGCACAAACAGTGGGTCAAATCTCCTGGGGCCATTCAAATATTAACGTCCACAGTGATAAACAGCCCCCAAAAAAGTCCTCTGTTCGCAAATTGGAACAAACAACTACAGCGGGTTGCTAAGAGACCACTTGGGCAGGAGCCAAAGTCAGTTCATGTGTCTGATGAAGTTTTTATTTATTTTTTTTTTATTTTCACTTTTTGCTTTCAGGAAAAAGAGGAGAGAAGAGGCTACCTGTAGATGACTCCATGCTGGTGGAGAAACATGAGGGCTGACGTGACCTCTGCAGCATAGAACCGTGAACGGGGCTCGTCGAATTTTCGGGAGCGCTGAATCTGAAACATGAGGTCTCCACCATTTACGTACTCCATGACGAAAAAGAGGCGGTCCTGAAAGAAGAGAAGAAAATGCCATTTGGGTCATTTCACTGCAGCCGCCCCCACAGGCCAGCATCGAGTGAGCCCAACGCAAGATAACCAGGACTCGGGGGGAGGAGCCTCAGAGGTGGCTGAACCCTGGTAGCACCATCCAGAAAGAAAACAAAGGAATAAAGCACACGAATTAGGGTAGGAAATGTCTTACTTTCGTGGACATCAGCTTGATCTAGTGGAAGCAGCCTAAAATGGATACAAAGGGGACTCAAGCCTTTGATTTCTGTTACTACCTTCAAGTGTGGCCTTGGACACGCCTCTGCCCTTTTGGAGGCTCCAGATACCTTTGTACATGTGGCAGGCTGAATAAAATCCTCCAGGAGATACCTAGGCCCTAATCCTTGCAGTGTGTGAATGTTACCATATATGGCAAAATCGGCTTTTGCAGACGTGATTACGGATCTTGAGATGGGAGATGACCGGGGACCACCAGGGTGGGCCTTAAATGCACCCACAAGCGTCCTCATAAGAGGGAGGTAGAGGGGGACTCGAGAAGGGAGGAGGTGGCCGAGTGACCACAGAGGCAGGGTTTGACGTGATGCAGCCACAAGCCAAACAACACGGGTGGTCACCGGAAGCGTTCACCAGAAGCAGTAAGGAACTGAACCTCTGGAGAGAGAACAGCCCAGCCAACACCTTGACTTTGGCCCAGCAATGCCAGACTTCCAGCCTCCAGAACTGAGAGAGAATAAATTTCTATTGTTTTAAGCCACCAAGTTTGTGGTCATTTGTTAACGCAGTCTTAGGAAACCAATACATTGTGACACGGAACAATGAGACTGAGAGACCGCCGCCATTCCAGCGAGGGCCACATTTAACCCTGGAGGACATTCCTGATAGGATTCCTATGGACTCTTCCCTCTGGGCAGCCTTCAGAACCACCAGACCACAGTCACACTTAACCGGAGATAGTCCCTTCTTATCTGCAATCCATGATAACGTGGAGAGGATGCACTGGAATTCACTTTGCACAGTTTCTCCACTTGTCTAAGATCCTACCCTGGGGAATGTTGGGTCAGGCTGCACGCAACGAATGATAAGTCATCACCACCCTGGGGCTTACGGTCCAGGGCTGGAGATGGGAAACACACACGCGAGGCATGACAATGCATTAAAGACACCAGGAGCTGACGGATTCAGAGGAAAGGGAGCTCTCTGACCTAGGGGCCATGGAAGATTCCAGATGGAGCTGGCCTTGAGAGAAAGAGAAAGTCAGGGGTGGCAAGAACCAATGCCAGCATGTGGGAACAGAGTGAGCATGTTCAGGGGCCAGAAAACTGAGCAGCTCAGCGGGGGACAAAGGCTGACGCAGTCAACGGTGAGGCGTAAGAGACGGGAGGGGTGGAGTACATTCTTAACATACGTAGTCCACGTGTGGCTTCCAGGAGGATGAGAGTGTTATTTTCCATGAAGACTGAGTAAAACTTACCACTGATACTTCTTTATGCTTGAAGCATATCTAATTTATTATTGACAACTCTTTGAAAATAAGTCCATAGTTAAGAATTGTTACTAAATCAATCTACCTTCTCCCCAACCACAATCTCCAGAATTATGCAAGCTTTACTGGTATTCACAAAGGGCCCAAGGTCTAGCTTCTCTTCCGTTTGTCTTACCCTTCTCCTTCAAGGCCTGCCTCATTTTCTCCCCACAGTATATTCTGTACCCAGAAGTACTGGGCTGCCTCGCCGACTATTCGTTCAATCATCCATCCGCCATTCGAGTCCTCATTTCAAAGTCAGATTTGCAGGCCAGCCCCAGCCCATGAACTCAGAATCCCTGAGGTGGGACCCAGGCCCAGTAGCTGTTAAAGCTCCTCAGGTCACTCCAACGTGTAGCCAGGGGTGAGAACCACTGACTTTTGTGTATCTAGTTTTTCTCAAGGTATTTTGCATCTGTGCCATATATAAGGATTATAAAGTATTCCAGTCTTTTTGTCTTTTCAAACATTTCCCCAAGAACAAGGGTTTTCAGACTTATGTATCAGAATCACATGGGAGTCTTGTTAGAACATGGACTCTTGGGCCTCTAACTCGGAGTTTAATTAAGATTAAGATTAAGAAGATCAGGAAGAGACTCTGAAAATCTGTCTCTGCAACAAGACCTCAGTGGTGGGTGAGGTTGACGCTGCTGGTCCAGGGACCACACTTTGAGTCCCTCTACACTAGAGCACTTGGGGACAAACCTTTCACGTGGAAAGCACAGCTGTATCATTCGTTTAAACACTGCCCTGGTCTAGCTCAACCACACGACCAGAAACAGCTGCTGATGTGCTCACTCTATAGTCACCAACCCTGGATTTGGGGTTTAGCAGCAATGGAATATTTTCTTGACTGTGTTTGAAAAAAATCCAGATCTTTAAAGTGGAAAAATCCCCGCTTTGCACCTTCTTCCCTGGTGGATTTTTGTTCTACTGACACTGGACACACAGTTTTTAAGAATAGGGGCTGTGGAGTAAGCAAGAAGAGCTTCCACGCTGACTTTGCCACTCACTGGCTGCAAATGACTTCGTCTCTCTGGGCTCAGTTTTCTGGTCTGTAAAAATGAGGATGACACAGAAACAGGACCTGCCTTACACACCTCTTACGAGGATCAAATTATAGGTTAAAATGCCTGGCTCAAAATTGGCGTTCCATAAAGATCGTCTATGACTATTATTAGCAACCATATTATATTAATAGCTGTTATTATTTTTATTATTATCGAGTCTTCATTTTCTCTGATCTCTCAGCAGCTTTCTTCCCCAACCACCTCCTCTTCCAACAAACACCTGTTTCCTTTGGCTTTCGGGCTGCATCCCTCCCTACGTTTCTGGCAGGGTTTCTTCTGCTCTCATGGGGGCTTCTGTTCTTCCCAGCCATTAAGTGCTGGAATCCCACAAGGCTGGGTCCTAGGCCCTCCCCTTCCTTGCCTGGTGCCCACTGGGGGACTCATCTACACCCAGTTTCTAAGGCCCCTCTATGCAGAATGACTCAGAAGCTTGGCCCTCCACCCTAGACCCCTGCTCCACGCTCCAACTCACCTGTCCAACTGTGGTTTGTTCAGACATCTCCCTCCAGGTGCCTCAAAGGCACTCAAACCCAACGTGTCCAAAACCGACCCCATCATCTTCCTCACCAAACTGGTCCTTGCCCAGGGTTGCCTGTCTCAGGCAGGGCCTCCCCGTTCAGCCAATTTTATAAGTCAGAAACCCAGAAGTCATTCTTAATATATCCCTCTCCCTCATCCTCACATCCCTCGCTGAGCCCTCTCGCTTTACTTATTGTGCCTTTGCACCTGTAAACTTCTCTGTTTCTCTCCAGCTTTACTACCGTCAGGCACACCATTCTGGCCCAAGCAACAACAATCTCTTGTCTAGATTCTTGCAAGCGCCTTGTCACCAGTACTTCCCACAAATGCAGATCACACTATTGGCAGAAGAACCCTGCTGAAATGGAGATATAATTGCAATGCACCCCCTTCCTCCTCTCATCCTACTGCTTAATTCTTAAAAAAGGCTTCCTGTCACTCTTAGAACACACAGAAAACTCCTTAACATGCCTCAAAGCCTGTGTGATCTTCCGAGTCATCTCCCTTCCAGCTGTCCCTAGTTCCCTCTGCTCCAGGGCCTTTGCTCATGCTGTTCCCTCTGCCGGGAATGTTTTTCCCTCTCTTTTGCCCTGACTAATCCTTCTTCACCCTTCAGATTTCAGTGCAGCCATCTTTTCTTTGAGGAAGCTGTCTCTGACTTCTCAAATGAGCTCAAATCCCCCCTAGCGTGCTATGCCCTGTCGCAGCATTCAGCACAGTGAAGAGTTTTATTAATATCTGTGTAATTAATTTTCAACTTTCTCCCCCAGTTGTCTGTATGCTTCATGAAGGCAGAAACTGTTGGTAATTCTGGCCTGCTGTTTTTTAAGGGAATTACGTTAACACATAAAAAAAAGCTGCTATAATTCCCCTTAAAAACAAGCACTGGCTGAGCACCATGGCCTATGCCTGTGTAATCCCAGCTACTTGGGAGCCCAGGAGTTTGAGACCAGCCTGGGCAACAACATAGTGAGGCCCAGTCTCTAAAAAAGAAAAAGTTTAAAAATAAAAAGAAAATTAGCCAGATGTGGTGGCATACACCTGTAGTCCTGGCTACTCAGGAGGCTGAGTTAGGAGAATCCCTTGAGCCAAGAGTTGGAGGCTGCAGTGAGCTGCTTGTGCCACTGCACCCCAGTCTGGGCAACAGAGTGAGATCCCATCTCTAAAAACCAGTAATCAAAAAATTAAAAACAAGCCCTATGTGGATAGAAGAACTCAAAAAAGATTAGGGGGCTACAAGCAGCAGAGTGGTCTAACACTTGCATCTGACAATTTTTACTGCTAGCTAAATGTGAGTCAGCCTGTTGCAGAGAGCCTGTTGTTTGCAGAATCTGGGGATAGGTGTCTACTCTGAACACTTCAGCCACAGAGGGTCTGACTGTATCAACAACCCAGTATTTGGTGACAGCATTGGACAATTGTTTTGCTCCGTAGATAGATGTCTTCACGTCCCAGTGACATGGTCAGCTCTTTAAGGAACACATCTCATTCTTCCCAGCAACCCCAGTTAACACTAGCTCAAAACTCTGTACCTGGGGAGGCACTCAGTAAACATCTGCTCATCCAACATTCAGTAAACATCTGCTCATCCAGTGAGCGTCACGAGAGGAAGAAGTTTTGTTGTTTAGCTCCTTACCATATTCCCAGCAACCAGAGCTGAGCCTGGCCTAGCGGGTTCCTGGTGCGGAAGGCCTGAATCCTTGGACACCCACTGTGGACTCGGGTTGCTAGAAGCTCAAACGTAAACCAGAGTTGGCTTCCCCATGTTACTTCTGTCGTTATTTGGAGCTATTCTAATTTTAGCCCATTTTGAACTTGAGTTTTAATCTGCTTTCTACTCAATACAGCTCAACCCACATGGCCCCCAAAGCATAAGTAACCTTTTTTAC